TCTAAAAAGTATCCGCGGTTTTTTGTCACTAGATGTGTGTTGATGGTCATATATCTAGTGAAAAAGTACCGCGGATACTTTTTAGACCCAATATTAATCGAAGTCCTTCGTTTCCTTTCCATGAAATAAAGAACTCTGATTAGTTTAATTTCTTATGCTTCATGTGTTATGCATTATGTAAGAGTCTATGCTCTTCGCTTAACACGCATTCTACAATAAGCCATTAATTATAAATCAGAAATTAGAAGCTGGAAATTGACCAATCACAGTCGTCAATTTGCAACTTTTAACTTTTGATTTATGACTAATGACTTATTGTAGAATGGCCATAAAGCAGAGAGCACAGACACTTGCATAATGCATAACATGTAATACATAAGAAAATGTACCAATCAAAGTCTTTCGTTTCCTTTCTTTCCATGAAATAAAGAACTCTGGTTCAATTTCTTATGCCTCATGTTATGCGTTATGCAAGAGTCTGTACTCTTCGTTTTAATCTTTCCACCAAGTATTTGACGCTGCCATATAAAGATCTTTAAAGGCTTAAACACAATAGCCACAGGCAGTAGGCACAGGCAACAGGGAATAACGAGCCATCCAGAAAATAGAGAACAGAGAATAAGGGTGCGATTACACCTTGGAGTGTGGTACGCGGTACGCGGTACACGGTATAGAAACTAACTAGGTAACTATACGAGCCGCTTGCTTCTTTTCTCTTCTATTACATGGAGCGCGATTTGCGGCACAGGCTAGTAACATTTTACATTACTATACACTGCTATGCATTTTTTAATAGAATTAATTGATTTAAACGCAATTATTAAGTAAATCTGTTAAAAAAATAAGAGTATCGATAAAGTGTGTAAAAAAAATAAGTTAATATATTTTAAAAAATTCATACTAATGTGAGTTTGTCACTAACCTGTGTTGTAAACCGCGCTCCATATACAATAATATCAGCGAAAGAAATAGACAGTACGCTGGGTACGCGATATGGTCGGTTAAACTGGCCATAACCAAAAATTATGGATTCTGCTTCTGAAGGAGAAGGATCTCTTAATATTTACTATCGGCAGTTTAAATTATTAATTTTCGGAATCATATTTTGTCTTATATAATCTCATAAATGTAATAAGTTGTACTCTATTCCTCCTACGACACATTTTTCATTACGAAGGCCATTTCTACTTTGGGAACAAAATTAAAGTTTATCGTAATTACATAAAATGATTCACTCTAGAGAACATATTGGGTCATCTAAAAAGTATCCGCGGTACTTTGTCACTAGATATATGACCATCAACACACATCTAGTGACAAAAAATCGCGGATACTTTTTAGATGACCCAATA